ATAATATTATTATTACTTTCATGACTCCCTGGTAATAGTGGCATGTGACCATGGTGCCATGTGACCATGGTGCCATGTGACCATGGTGGTATGTGACCATGGTGCCATGTGACCATGGTGCCATGTGACCATGGTGCCATGTGACCATGGTGAGCGCTACTGTGTGGCACAGACTTACTCTTCCTAGCACAATTTTTAAATGTATCCTAACAGCTGACAGTGACACAGTTGTAGTTTCCACATAGATCTACCAATGGCAATGGCAATGCCAATGGCTTACCTTGAACGAAGAAGCCCCCCCCCCCCCCACCCTCCATACACACACACACACACACACACACACACACACACACACACACACACCACACACACACACACGCACACACACCTGTCCTGTCCTGTAGAGTCACTGCCGCAAAAGGGTCACGTGATCCCATCAATGGGAAACTTGAGAAGAGAGAGAGAGGACACGACGCTCGATGACGCTCCAGGTGCACGGGTAGTCGCATCCGCTTGCCGCATATGCACACGTGCTGGAAGGCTGAGCGCTCCTCTGCTGTTGGTCTATGCGCCACCCTTGAACAGCGATGCCTTCCCCGTCCCCGGACACCGCGAAAGCAGCGACCACACCTGTCACAATACGCGGCACAACATCCCTCCGCCGGTGCCGACGTTCCGGTAGTTCCAGGTGGCACTGCGGCATCCACCGTTGAGGCAAACACATGCTGGACCAAGCCACCGCGGCTTCTCAGCCACCGCCCACACCGCCCGCACTGACTGGCGCCCCGCCGCTCAGACACAGGCCGCGCACGCTCCTCCAGACACTTATGCCGAGCCATGTCTCCTTTCCGTGCAAAATCCCGTCCGCATACCGTACATACCACTCGGGGCGGAGGCTCAGGCACATTGTCAGGCTCTTGGTAGGTGCTGCGCCACTCCGCGCGAGACTCACATGCAACATCAAACCATGATGCCTCCACGCCACGGGCACGTAGATCCCGGACAGCACAGTCCTTCCATCTGCGGCGTGGGCCATGTGCTGGGCGACGCTGCAAGAAGGAGCCAAACAGTACCTGTTTTGGGATGCGGTTGTCCGGCATCCGCGCCACATGCCCCAACCACTCCAACCGCCGATGTGCAATTTTGTCTTTAATCGTCTCGGAGTCTCCCCAGCGCACCAGCAGCTCTTCGTTGGTGATGTGTTCGTCCCACATCCGGCTTCGAGAGACCCCGAGGATGGATCGGATGCACCTCATGCTGAAGGTTGAGAGCTTCTGCAGGTCATGCTGAAGGGGCGTCCAGCACTCAGAGCCATACAACAGCAGGGACAGAACGCAAGCATTGAATACGCACCGCTTGGTGTGCATCAGCAGATGTGGATTGGAGAATACAGACCTCCGAAGAGCACCGCAGGCCCTGGAGGCTTGGGCAATCCTTGCGGGGATGTCCCGGGACGAACGGCAACCGCTGTCCACTACAGAACCGAGGTATTTGAAATGCGGTACGCATTCCACCTCCGCTTGACCAAGTTGGAGGGGAGCGCGGACGCACACACACACACACACACACACACACACACACACACACACACACACCTCCGTGGTCGGTAGAGCCCCGGTCTTCACGACCATCTGAACCGTATGGATGTTAGACCCGCTTCTGACCCTCTGTATTCTAGGGGAGTTGTCGTAGTTTTCTTGTTGTTGTACCGTCAGTCGTGTATTCTTTGTTCGCTCCTGGATGTCATCCAAAACCGGGTCTAGCACCCATACGGTTCAGATGGTCGCAACAGACCGGGGCTCTACAAACCGTGGATGGTTGTAGTAAGGTCACTGTTTCCGAACACGGTGGTCTCCACCATGTTACATGCTGTCAACCAACAACATGTTTGAACAAAACAAGGTTAATCTCATACTCAATCTGCGGACAGAACTGTTTCCTAATATGTATGGACAGAGTACAATGCAAACATGTATGCCACAGAGTACAATGATGCAAACATGCATATAATTATCAGCCCCCCAGTGCCGAACACAGTCAACGTTGCGAATAGCGCGACTCTCACTCGGCCATGAGAAAAGTGTTGTAATATTTTGTTATTTGTAACTTGGAAATTGTGGGCACAAGTTATGCGATCGAGTCCACCAACTGAACCAGATTTTGAACAGTCAGCCAGTCGATCGCTAAACTGGTGGCCACAACTTCCATGTTACAATTTGTTTCCTTGGCTCACCATCTGAGTTCTATTTTGTTATTGTTTTGCGATTTAAAATCTAAATCTAGCTAGCTTCACTATGATAAGTAACAATAATGCAGGCTGGGGCTGGGACCTCCTGTAAAGTAATGCCTTGTACATATGTTTGGCCCCGATACTCGCTTCTCCTGGATAGTGGCATTTTTGCACTCCCATGCACGCACCTGCAATTACATGTACATGTATGTACATGTATTGTGTACGCATGTACATACACGTGCCATGACCTGACCAACCGGACCGGTTCCGCCGGGCCTGCTTGGTCTGAATAATTATGATAGTGTTGTTATTAGCGAGATAGTGTTATGATGCGAGGTTGTTATTCTCAAGGTTCACCACTAACAAGAATATTGGTAAAGGCTAATGATTGCCATGATTAATCCACACCATTTTCCATTGTCTGCATCGAAAATAATTTTTGTCCTCCTTTTTTCACCATAAAATAATTCTGCAGCACTTTCTGGGAACGTTTCGCCATTCTCATAGCTATAGTATAGAGGATATGACAGCCCAGTATTAAAAATGTAGGAATGCTTTTCACACTTTTCTTGCCACCGCCCCGCGCCCGTGACAAGCCTTGGAAATGCCTGCACTCGCCTACACCAAGAGTACATAACCCCCCCCCCCCCCCCCCAGAGTGTGCAACTCCACTATGCATGGATGCTGTCCCGACAGAATTTCAAGTTGACGTCATTTTGATGATGCAATGTGCACTGTACACGGATTATCAGACGAATCCGGAACCTGTGGTTGACGCGAAGCCGATCGATCCTGTACAAATTATTGCAAAGAAAAACGTGTGATGCGTTGACACCCGTACACATGTTGTAAATCACTGCACTGGTGCAAGGAGCATTGCGTCATAAAATTATGACGTCAACTTGAAATTCTGTCGGGACAGCAGGATATGTGGGAGTTGCACACTCTGGGGGTTATGTACTCTTGCCTACACTTACATGTATCTATACTGGTAACGTTAATGGCAACATCAATGTGCTCAGATACATAACAAAAACGACTTTTGGGTTGTTGCCTGCATACTCACCGGCACAACTCTGTTTCCGCGGTCAAAAGTGCGAACTCCACGGATCACTGTGATCTCTGAGCCGGAAATCATCGTGGCCACGGGATCACATATTTCAAGGGAACAGATTGCTGTGAAAGGAATGTCTTCTCCTGCTGCATATACTTCGAGTGCAATACTTTAAATGAAACTTCGCAGCAGCAATATCCAGCCACTCCCACTGTTCGGTTCACACGGGGAAAAAAAGAGAAGAAAAAAAGAGTCGAGTGGTCTTGGTCCGAGGAAGCTGAGACGCTCCCTTCTTCCTTTATTCCCAATCGAACTCGCGAACTTCCACCGAAAGTGACTGGTGTACGCAGGAGCACGTGACTGGTGTACGCAGGAGCACGTGACTGCTTGTTCAACCATGTTCGATTGGGAATAAAGGAGGAACGCTGCATCGCAGCCTTTTCGGACCAAAACCAGTCGACTCAGCGTCCAAACGACTACAACATATGGGCCAATCGCGGTCATCCGTGCTTTTATAAGAACGAAATGGCGCTTTTAGTGACATTTTGCATACAAATCCCCATCTTTATCTTGTAGTAGGGCGCAGTCACCCAGTTTCGGTGGAAGTGCGAGAGTTCGATTGGGAATATAGGAGGAAGGGAGCGTCTCAGCTTCCTCGGACCAAGACCATTCGACTCAGCAGTGAGCGCCCCAAAGACTACAACTAGTGAAAATTTGATTTTAGGCTTAACTTCCCCTTTAACATGTTGCCATACTTTCGTTAAAATGATTTAGCATTACTACAAATACCACATGCTAAACTGAACACAACACATGCTAAACTGAACACAACACATTCTAAACACATTCCTAACTTTTAAACACAACACATTTTTCAGATAAGCCTACCTCAGATTTTGAAACCTGATGCCATCTTCATCATCAGCTTCAGTATAGCTTGTGCCAATCACCTGATCACACAGCGTCCATGTAACCGATAGCCAGTGGTCTTCACATCTTCTCATGCCATGGCAGGCTATAACCATGTGGGACTAACAATGCTGGGTCAACAATTCTGTACACAAGCCGTAGTCATGAAGCTGTGCTGCAGGATATCTGCGCACAAATCCGAATTGCACCACCAGCAATGAATCACTTGCATGCACACGATGCCGCAAATTACACAAGCATACCCATCACAACATGCAGTAATAATAGTATCACAGACAGCCATACACTTACAGGTACATGAATTAAAGACAGCCATACAGGTACATGAATTAAAGACAGCCATACAGGTACATGAATTAAAGACAGCCATACAGGTACATGAATTAAAGACAGCCATACAGGTACATGAATTAAAGACAGCCATACAGGTACATGAATTAAAGACAGCCATACAGGTACATGAATTAAAGACAGCCATACAGGTACATGAATTAAAGACAGCCATACAGGTACATGAATTAAAGACACCCATGCAGGTACGTGTACTGCATCTACAACAAATCTACAGGCAGGTGGAAACAAACAAAAACTGCACAGATGAGTGAGATGACATTTTCCTAACGGAGGAAGCTAGTGGCTGTGAGTTGAACCCTCGCCCATCCCAATGCCCAGGCAAGCTAAAAACAAACAGTTGCCACCATGCACACACACACACACACACACACACACACACACACACGCACACACGCGCGGCAGCAGCAGCAGCAAACTGGCCAAACCCTATCACCGTAAACCAGGAAGTATTGTCCTACTCCCTGCCGTAACCACACACAAGCAATCTTCACCGAATACAAAAGCAGTGAAGCGAGTAGTTGGCCAAGCAAAGCAAAGCGTGTATAAGAGCATCGAATCACAGACAGAGGCTCAATCAGAGTAAGGAATTCAAGTCTTTAAAAAAACCCATGGCAACCAGGCCAGGTCATAGAAGTGTGAGAAAGCCTAAGCAGCATAAGAAGTGGCAGAAACAGAGAAGGCTACGGGGTATTGTAACATGTACAACCAAACTGTATGACTTTCGGTGGCAGCAACAGTGTGGGAATTACTACAGGGTCCAATATATACATTCAATGGCACATGAACATCTGATGTACTGCAACGTACGGCTCAACATGCAGCAGTGTAATTTAATGTTCAAAGCCACACAAAGACAACGAGACGCCAACATAGTAAAACAAATTTAACAACACAACACGTGAATGAACACATTCATGAAAATGAACGCACACACATACACACACACACACACAACACACACACACACACACACACACCACACACACACCACACACAAACGCACACACACACACACACACACACACGCACGCACGCACGCACGCACGCACGCACGCACGCACACACACACATACACACACACGCACACACATACACACACACGCACACACACAAAGACACACAGCGACAACAACACACAAAGCACGGAAACAGCAGGGAGTCGACGCACGGCAAATGGTTACCAATGGTCCCACGCACGCACAAGCAAGCTTAGCTCAGTCTGCTCAGTCGCTTTCATCACCATCATCACTGCCTACGTCACTAGCTCCAGACGTTAGCTCGGCTTCTTCCTCATCATTCGAGCCTTCGGACGGCAGCTGGGCTAGCTCCTCGTCGTTCGACTGTCCGCGTCGTGAGCGTGTGGACCTCTTTGCCGGCGGTGCCCCATCATCATCACTCTCATCCTCCATGACAACATCACTACCACCACTGTCACTATCACTGATCTCCTCCTTCGAGATCGGTGCTTCCTTCTTCTTGGCTTTCGCCACACTCGTAGAGCTACGGTGAACAAAACAACGAGAATATAAAGTGGGTTAACATATCAAGTTGTCTGCCACACACACACAGATCATACTCCATCAATAATCTCCACTTTCTTTTTCTTGGTCGTTGTGTCGGTATTTGCAACTTAAAATAAAAGGTAATTCGCTACAGTTTCAGGCGTCGCCACACACTTTTTCAGGAAGCTATTCACCAGAATTTCATCAATGTAATAATTTGCTCATAATGGTGGACTACCAAGAAAAGATCATGCTGATTCTGAATCTGCGATAAAGTTTGTAGGTTCCCATATTCGTTCTTTGTGATATCGAGGAATATGGAACATTGGAATTTCGGGCAAAATGGCAACATTTGCCCTGACTCACTTGTGAGGTCTGCATTCGCCACTAAGGTGTAAAGGCATAGTGGTGGCCTGCGGAAGCGAAGGCTATAGCTTGTGTGTTTCTGAACATTCAAGTGATGCTAACGCGGATCCCGCGAATATTATTATTATTATTATTATTATTATTATTGCGACTTTTAGACAACTAGAATAGTAGTAAAACTCCGGGGACCCCCATTTTTTATTTCACAAAACCACTTCCAAAGCTTTAAAGACATCTGCAGAATTTGAAGAGAATATTCCATGGATGATTATTTAGGGGTGAAACGATCATCGAAATTGGTTAACAACTACTAATATGTTGTTAACGATCGAGCTATCGATTATACATGTAGCAAGACTAACAACTATCTTCAGCTGTTCAATTATAACAAAGTTGTGCTACCTTCCTCCCTTTTCTGAGAAAATACCACTGAAGCAAATCGGAATAATGGGGTGGGTTGCTGTGAATGCCGGTGAGAGACTGTGAAGCACACAGTGTGACAGTGGTAGGTAAGTATACTCATACCTCGTTTATCCGGGCGGTCAGGGACTGGCCACTGCCCGCAACTTTGAAATGTCCGTGACTCCGAATCACATACATTTTGATACGGAAAGGCCATAAAATGGCATAATAATATTATGACTAGGGCTCAAACGGTCACGGTTTTACCCCTGACGGTTAACTGCTAAGCTAACGGTCGGTTAACCGGTTATAACCTATAAGCCACGGCAATCCTGCGGACTCTTTTTTAACCGTATATTTGACTATACTCATTCAAAAAATGTACCCTATTCAGTACAACGCACACTTGTACATTCTCTTGCATGCTCATTCATACATACTCTCACACCAAGAGACCAGATATGACCGAGTTGACAGCCCAGAAATTGCGTACGCGTGCGACAGCCCGCGAAAGTGCACACTTTGCAACGACCTGATACTTGAAAAATTGACTGAAAAGTTACTGCGTAACCATTATCTTTATCGGTTAACCGTTAATTCTTCGTAACCGGTCTGCAACCGGTTAATCGGACTAACCGTTTGAGCCCTAATTATGACGTCACTATTTCCACAAAAAGTGACAGTTCAGTAGTAATATTTCCACTAAAACTCGCCCAAAGGGTGCTCGGTAGACCGAAGTGCTCGTAACCTCGGGGTCCGGATAACCGAGAGGTACCGGTATGTGTGTAGTGTATGCAACATTTCAAAACACAGATATAGACCACTGCTAACTGTTAGACACACACCACAGTAAAATCTGTCAAGGTAACCACTCTGATAAGGCGACCGACTGAATTTACTGTCCTACAGGACCACTGCAGCCAGAACCAAGGCATGTTATTTCCAGTCAAAAGACCCTGGATAAGGTGACCACCCGTGCAAGGAGGTCGCCTTTGACGGGTTATACTGTCGACTGTCTACTGCCAGACATAGCCTCGGAACACTATGTAAAAGCAATGACATATTGGGGCAGGAATGGGATTGCAAAACGTGGATACAAACATTGGACGCAATCCTGCTAACCAACCTGGCTGATGGCTTTTCCTTCTTCTCTTTCCGTTCCTTCTTTTCTTTCGGTTCCTTCTTTTCTTTCTTTTCTGCTTTTTCTACCTTCTCCTTTGGCTGCTTCGGCTTGCTTGGTGCCTGGAACAAACGTTGGTGCGAATAGCATGACATGTACCCAAGTAAGCGAAAAAAGATTGCCATTGAATAAGAACCACACACCATGCACACACCATGCACACACCATGCACACACACACACACACACACACACACACACACACACACACACACACACACACACACACACACACACACACACACACACACACACACACACACACACACACACACACACACAAACACGCGCACACACACACACACACACACACACACACACACACACACACACACACACACACACAGAGGTATTCACTGTAACAGCTCTCCCATGTCACCTACCTTCTTCCTCTTCTTGCTCTCATCCACAGCCGGGATTGTCTTGGCTGCATTCTCCTCATCACTCGACAACATAGCATCAGAATCAAACCTATACAGGCAACAACCGCACAAACAAACCACACGGCAACGTCGTAAAAGAAAGCTAAGTCCAGTTCAATAGATCAGGTAAGAACGTGCCCAACTGCTCGATGTGATCAAACATGAGCAATGTGCTGCTACTATAGCCATCCACGGGCAGCATGTAGTAACAGTTAAGAAGACACTCAGTGATGTCACTGCACTGCACGCCAAGACAATAGCTTCTGTCATACATGATAACTAACTACTGTCAGGTTTTGCTCCGGAGTCAGTCGGCCTGTCGCGTCAATTTTGTGATTAGGTAGACACTTGGTGAATGTACTTCAGGGATCGATTTACTTTGATTTTTTTCCATAGCAGTCACACAGCGCACAGAATTTTCGCTTTTCTCCTTTTCGCTTCCACGACAGTTCGCAGAAAACATTTTCGACGAACAACTGTTCGTCGAATCCTGTTCGTCCCCAAGCCATTTCGTTGACTGGCCCATTAGGTGACTGTCCTTTTCGACGTGTGAACTTCTCGCCGAGTGACAGGTTAGACGAAAGGTATTTTCATCGACAACCTTTGTCGAGGTGTGGGATTTTCGTCGAATGACACGAAATCGACCTCTAAATATACCTAACAAAACCAAACGAAGGGAAAGGGAAATGTGCAAATGCAAGGCGAACATGGGCGAGGACACAAACAAGTGAAGGGAGCGAAAGGTTTCCATGGCGTGAGCGTGGTGGTGCAATTCTAACAGATGGATCAAAACAAAAACTTTATTACATATGTGTGCCCTCCCAACAATCAACCATATAAGGCATATCTGTTGATGTTCTTCAAGCAACTACGAGAACTGATGATGGAAGTAGATCTCAAGACGACCACCAAGCATGGAAAAGAAAAGCTCATTCACCGTGGGTATGGCTACGTTGTGGACAAGGTTGGAAAGGATGGAGTAGTTTACTGGAAGTGCGAGGAGAAGGATGCCTTGAGCTGCAAGGGAAGGATGAGGACAAGGCACGGGCTGGTGACGGCGGTAACTGGCAACCACACTCATGCTCCGGATGCCATGCGTGGGGACGTAGCCAAAGTACGGGATCAAGTATCCTCGCGGGCTGCGCCTCTTGGAGCTAATACAGCACTTCAATGCAGGACACGACCGACTCAAGTTCACCTACGAGCTCAGCAGTAGCAAAGGCTGGATTGATTACATGGACGTGACGATTGCCATACAACAGTCGGGCCAGATGACGTACAAGCTCTTCCAAAAGCCATGCAATAGTGGATTGCTGATAGACTACGCATCTGCTGTACCTCATCACATCAAACTTGCCGTTGCCAAGTCTCAATTCTTAAGAGCACAACGGCTGTCTTCCAATGACACCATGTGTAAAGAAAGTGAACAGAAAATTCAAGACCAACTTCAACTCAACCACTATCCAGAGAGCCTCATCATCAATGCCCGAGAAGCAGCAAGGAAACCCAAGCGTCGCCGCCGAGGTAATCCGTGTTGTGCGTTTCTGAAGCTGCCGTATAAGTCGGACAGGGTGCATCACAGCGTCAGCAAAGCTATCCGGAAGCACAAGTTACCAGTCCGGGTGGTTTACGAGCATGCGGGTAGCCTCAAACGTCAGCTCTGTCACTCAGCACAAAGTCCGCCCAGCTGCATTAAGGAGCCCAACATCAGAAAGACAAAGAGAAGAGGACGCCCATTGGGGCCGTGTCTGACTTGTAAGTCGGGTGGAGTGAAAATATGTTTGAAGAAGAATGTGATATACCGGCTGCAATGCAAGTTGTGCAGGGAAAAATACATTGGAGAGACGGGTCGCACACTGGAGACAAGACTGGAGGAACACAACGGTGAGGCTCGTAGGCGCACTGTGGATAAGCCATGGGGTGACCACATGCGAGCTAAGCATGCAGGGATCAACCTAGGTGTCGGGGACAGCATCTTCTCGGCAGTGTCTGTGGTTGCAAGAGCCAGTGACAGGGCAAGCCGCAAATTGCGAGAGGCAGTGGAGATCAGAAACGAAGGCCCAGAGATCAACACCAGTACTGGATGGTCATTACTCTAAAACAATCACACCACACTGTCTATCTAGGTGACAGTATTTACTGGAAACCACTGACATGGTCACATTCGTGAATTGCTTGCGAGAAACCTGTTCAGACATTTCTCAAGTTATCTGGTGACATCTGCGCTGTGCTAACTTATTACCAACACCCAGCATATGAGTCAGTGAAAA